ATAGAGCGTCAAAAGTGAGAGAGAGGCGGAGGGAGAGAGATTGAGAGAGAGAGAGAGAGAGAGAGAACGAGGCATCTACCGGCAAAAAGAAGGCCAATAGGTCACACCACGCAACCTCCCATCCCCCCCTTAACCGGTAAGGTTGGTGTACCGCGCTCACTGCTGTGCGTTTGTCTTCACGCACATCACCACCACCACCACCACCACCAATAACAACAACAACAGCTAACTCCGGCGGCGGCCGTACCGCCACACGCCGAAGGGTCAAGGCAAGGAAGGGTAAAGAGCAGAAACCTCAGAGTGCTGCGGCACATACCAAACCTCTCCAACCGGAAAAAATGTCGACGATTTGAAGTATCTGTTACATGTGTTCAGTTTTCACAAACGAGACTCGACAACAACGTGGCCCCCCCATGCTCGCCGCCGCAAATTTTTAGCACCGCAGCCCAACGCTAGACGTAACGAGAAAGGGCGGCGAAGCTCAGGTATCCCCCAACCAGACACGCCATCTTGGTGTTCTTCATGCGAGAGTCGTGGAGAAGTTCTCTCGGCAACACCTGTTTTTTATTTTTTTTTTTCATCCGGGTTAGGATTCGAACGGGACGGGTGTGCGTGTGCGTGTGTGGTGTGGCGTTTTCTTGACAGGGGGGGGGTCCGATCCGATGCATGGCTTTGCGGCAAGCGGTCTCCAGCAAGGTATGTACGGTGGGAGGATGCGTGCCGAGAGCCCCATGGTAACATACAAAATTGTTTTCGGGGAGAAAGGAGGGTCTACCCATTTCCATTTCCCATTTCCAACGGCTTCCCCCCCGTTCCCGTACCCCGAACAGCAGCAAGGAACAAGCGGGGAGGGACGTCATATCACACCTCTATCGCGGTGACGTGAAGAAAGAGGGGGGTTCTACCCATTTCCAACTTTCCAACGGCGTACCCCCCCTCGTTCCCGTACCCCGAACAGACCACGAACAGCAGCAAAAACAAAGCAGCAATCGCTGGGGACGGACGTCGTATCGCACCTCCATCGCAGCCACGTGGAGAAAGGTCCCGGCTCCCAAGGCCGTGCACACGCCCGCGCCCGCTGAGCTACCGTCAGAGCTAGCTCGCACTAGCATCCCCAACGCCGCTCCCAGGGGAGTGAGCAGCGAGAACACTCCCATGCACAAGAAGAACTGGAGTCTGTTTTGATGTGTTTAGTGAGACGAAGGGGGACACACACACGAGGCAGAGAAGCAAGACAAGGATGTATGTGTGTCTTAATAATTGGCATCGACCGCGCTAACAGGCT